CCGCCCGCCGAGCGAGCCCGCGCCGGCCGCGGCGTCGGCGGAGTTCGAGATGGACCGGCAGCGGCGGCTCCTCGCCGACGAGGCGCGGCGCTGGGCCGCCGCGGGCGACGCGGGCGCCGTCGCCGCGCGGCGCGCGCCGCGGCCGGCGGCGGAGCCGCGGCTCCGCGACGAGGACGGCGTCGCGCTGCCGGCGGACGTCGCGGACCTCGTCTTCATGGCCCAAGTCGCGGCGCAGCGGTCGCGGCAGCGCGGGCGGCGCGCGGATCCGCCGCGCGGGGCCGCGCCGGGCTGCCGCGTCGCGGCGCCGCTCCGGCCGTTCCGGAAGAACGCGACGCCGCCGCCGCTGCCCGTCTGGCGGCCGCCGGACGACGACGACGACGCGGCGTCCGCGTCGTCCGGGGACCCCGGCGCGTCGGACGGGGACCCCGGCGCGTCGTCCGGGTCCGGGACGCCGCCGGACGCGGGCGACGCCGCGCGCGTCGCTGGCGACGCGCCCGGCGGGCCGCTCGCCCGGCGGGCCGCGCCGCCCGTGGACTAAGGTTACGCGAGGCCCGCGACGGCGATGGAATGCATCGCGACGGGCTCCACCGGCCGGTCGTCGCGGTCCGTCTTCGCGCGCGCGATCTTCAGCACGACGTCGTAGCCCGACGTCACACGCCCGAAAACGGGGTGGGACGCCGGGCCGCCGCCGAACCAGTCGAGCTCGCCGTTGTCCTCGACGTTGACGAAGAACTGCGAGCCGCCGCTGTGCCGCGCGCCGCTGTTGGCCATGGACAGCGTCCCCGCGGCGTTCGTGTCCCGCGACGTGAACTCGTCGCGGATGTTGCCGCCGTTGAAGCGCGCGTCCGTCGCGTTGCGCGCGTAGTTGTGGAACGCGCCGTCGGGCGGGCCGCCGGAGCCCGCCTTCTTCGACTTCGGGTCCCGCGCGTGGGGGCAGCCGAACTGGACCATGAAGTCGTCGATGACGCGATGGAAGTGGATGCCCTCGTAGAAGCCCGACGTCGCCAGGTCGACGAAGTTCGACACCGTGCGCGGCACGCGGTCCATGAAGAGCTCGGCCTCGAAGTCGCCGAGCGTCGTCGAGAACGTCGCCGTCGGGTTCGGCCGGTCCCAGACGACGGGCGGCTCGCGGTCGGCGCCGAAGACCGCGTAGGCGATCGCGACCGCGGCGGCGGCGGCGGCGGCGTACTTGAGCATGGCGCTGCGCGGAGACGGCGCGGAGCGGCGGCGCTGCGATGGCGCGATCTGATTGGGCAGCCCCAGGTTGACGCGCAAGTTGCCGTCGGTTTCATCAGACCTCCTCGAGAAGGTGGGGAGGCTCGACCATGGTCGTGCGCGAGCAGAAGGAGTGGTCCTACGCTAATTTCCAGCGGCCCAAAGCGGGGAGCCGCAAGAGCCCGCGCGGCGCGTCGCTGCGGCCCTACGTCAAGGGCCCGAGGCGCGTCGTCGATGCCAGCTGGGCCGGCGGCGGCGACGCGTCGGGCGACGGCGAGTCGCTCGAGGACCGCGACGCCGCGAGCTGGCTGCCCGGCGGCGCGACCTACTACGGGTCGCTGGGCGCCGGCGCGGCCGCGGCCCGGGGCGCGCTCGAGGTCGTGCCGTCCGCGGCGCGGGCCGCGTCCGCGCCGCCGCGCGCGCGGCCGCCGGCCGACGACGGCGCGCACGTGCGCACGGCGCTCAACTTCCTCATGCTCGAGGGCGCCCAGAGCGCCGAGAGCATGTGCCGCCAGCTCCGGGACCTGGGCCTCAACGAGGAGGCCGCGCGGGGCCAGGTCGCGCGGCGACTCCGGGCGACCGCGCGACCGGGCGCGGCGGAGCCCGAGGACGCGCCGCGGCCGAAGCTGCGCGAGGAGACGCTGGACCTGCGGCGGCGGCTCCGGGAGCACTTCGACAAGCTCAGCGCCGCCGAGGCGCGGGACGCGGCCGAGGCGCCCGCGCCCGCGGCGCCGCCGCCGCGGGCCCGGATCCTCGACGAGGCGACCGCGCCGAGCGTCGCCGCGTCGCCGCGCGTCGTCGTCAGCGACCGGCGGCCCGCGTCGAGCCCCCACGGCCGGCGCTGCGCGTCGCGGCCGGGGAGCCGCCAGGCGCGCGGCGCGCGGCCCGCGACGGCGGACCCGCGGCTCGACTTCGGCGACGGCTTCGGCGACGTGCTGGGCTCGCCGCCCGCGAGGACGCGGAGCCGGTCGCCGCCGCGGTCCGCGGCGTCGCCCGAGCGGTGCGGCCCGCGCTTCGGCGACGACGTCACGGCCGTGATCTGCCCGTCCTGCAAGTGGGACCACGGGCGCCGGTGCACCTACTGCCTGCTCCCGAAGAGCGCGTTGACGCCGCGGCTGAGCCTCAAGGACGTCGGCGCGCGGCTCCTGAAGAAGCACCCCGGCCTGAAGGCCGCGGAGTTGCTCGACAAGCTCGAGGCCTACGGGCGCAACGACGGCGTCGCGGCCGAGACGCACGCGAATCTCCGGCTGCCGCGGCCCGAGCCGCGGTCCCTGGCGCACCTCTGCCCCATGCACGCCCTGGAGCGGGAAGCGCTGGAGCACGTCGCCGAGCGCCAGGACGCGTCGCTGAAGCGCAAGGACGCGGAGCGCGCGGCGCAGGGACGGGTCGAGGACGGCCTCCGCGTGACGATCGCCGAGCTCAGCGTCGGCAACGAGGCCTTCGAGAGCCGCATCGCCGGCGCCATGACGACGCTGAGCCTGAGCCACAAGGAGATGATGACGTGGCAGGAGACGGCGCTCATGGGCCACGAGGACCACGCCCAGTTGGCCGCGAAGCACGCCGCGGTGCTCGACGCGAAGGCGTCGCTGGCCTACAAGCAGCGGGGTCTCGAGGAGCACAACAAGCAGCTGCGGCTCCAGGTCCACTTGCTCGAGGGCCACGTGCGGGCGCTGCAGGAAGATAAGAAAAAGCTCGTCGCGCCGCCGCCGCCGCGGCGCGTCCGCCACTTCGGGTGCCAGACGGCGACCTTGGTCGAGCGCGTCGTCACGGTCTACGCGCCGGCGCCGGCGCCCGTCGTGTCGCCGCCGCCCGAGGAGCCGCGGAGCGAGGCGCCGTCCGAGGACGAGAGCCTCATCACCGCGGGCTCCGCGAAGACGCTCGGCTTCTCCGCGACGCTCGAGGAGATGCACGCGATCCTGGAAAAAAAGGCCAGGGCCGACTTCGCCCACGCCGCCGAGGGCGCGGCGAGGCAGGACCTGCCGCGCTTCGTCGAGGCGCACATGGCCAAGAAGCACGGCAGCGAAAAGGCCGCGCGCGCGAAGACGCGCGTCTTCGCGACGTCGGTCCTCAAGTGGGAGCGCCACAAGGGCATCGGCCGCCTCTACGCCTTCGCCATCGCCGCGGGCCTCATGCACACGGACGCGTGGAGCCCCGCGCTGTCCGACGTCGCCGTCGGCCTCTTCGCGGCCGCGTTCTCCAAATCGGACGGCGCGGGGCTCGCGGACTTTTTGAGCCGGAACACGATCGTCTGCGCCGGCGAGAAGCGGCGATTGGTGGACGCGCTGACGCTCGCGGCGCCCAAGGCCGCCGCGGCGTCCGCGTTTTTGGGCGCGAACGTCGCGCGCGGGGCGCCGCCGGCGCCCGCGCAGTGCCTGCGGGCGGTGGCGTCGGAGGTGCAGCTGCGGCGTCTCTTCGTCGCCATCGACCGCATCCCGACGGACGCGAAGACGAAGACCGGCGAGCCGCTGTTGGACTTCGAGTTCTTTCTGCGGTTGGTCTTGGATTTCTACATCTCGCGCGCGCGCGCCGTGCTGCGCTGCCTCGAGCGCTGCTTCGCGGAGCTGTGCGCCGGCGGCGGCGACGTGTCCTTCGGTGCCTTCGCTTCGTGCCTCGACGAGCACCGGGTCGTCTACCGGGGCGTCGCGGGCTGTGTGGAAATCAACCGCTGGTTTGGGACGTCCCGACCAAACTTTGAAATTCTCTAGCTCAGCCACATCGAAGTCGATTCGGCTGATTCTTGGACGGATCGATCGCTCTCCTCGAGTTCTTGAAGCAGAGTTGAAGGGCTTGTGTCGAACCTTTCGAATACGCGCACATTGAAGTCGGGTTGAAGATTTGATTTCCCCGCAGGTCGCCGGCGACGCGGCCTACGCGGACTTCGGGTCCGCGGACGAGGCGCTCAACGTCGCGGGCCGGGGCCGCGCGTCGCTGGGCGCTAGGCAGCGGGCGAAGAAGGAGAACCACGGTCGCCGGCTCCAGGTCTGGAAGGCGCTGCGGCTCGAGGCCGCGGCCACGGACAAGGGCGGCGCGCGCGCGTCGTCCGCGCGGAGCGTGCGGTCTTCCGCGGCGAAGCGCGCGTCGGCGGCGAGCCTCGCGAAGAAGCTCGAGAGCGCGAAGAACGAGGAGCTCGAGGCCATGGCGCTGAGCCTCGACGCGGCGCGCCTCGCGCGCGCGTGCTTCGTCGCCCACGTCGTCCCGGCGGACCCGCCGGACAACGAGGTCAACGACCAGGCGGCCCTCGACACGGTCCTCTCGGCCCTCGACGTCGTCGTCCACGACGAGGGCGACGCGGCGACGGCGCTCATGTAAAAGCTTCAACTTGCCGCGTTTTTTAATGGGGCTGCCCTCGCACGAAAAAATAAAGTGCTGATGGCTGCGCCCCGCTAGGCCGCTCCGCGATGGGCCTCCTCTTCCTCGCCGCGGGCTACAGCGCGACGTCGGCGACGCTGTCCATCGTCAACAAGTGGGCCCTCGTGCGCTTCCCCTACTCGGGCGCCCTCACGGTGCTCCAGTTCGGCTTCGCCGCCGGCGCCGTGCGGCTTTTCGCCGCGCTGAAGCTCGTCGAGTGCGACGCGCTGGACTGGAAGACGGTCAAGGCCTTCGCGCCGGCCGTGGTCATGTTCTACGCGTCCATCGCGTCGAACATGCGGCTCCTCGCCGCGTCGACCGTCGACACGTTCGTCGTCGTCCGTTCCGTCGTGCCCATCGCGACGCAGGTCGGCGAGCTCCTGTTCTTCGAGCGGTCCGTGGCGCCGGCGCCGAGTGCGCTCCAGGTGGCGTCCCTCGCCGTCATCGCTGTGGGCGCCGCGGGCTACGGGTCCGCGAACGCGGCCGTGTTGTCGCCGGCCGTCGCGGGCTGGGCCGCGCTCTATCTGGCGTGCATCTCCGGCGACACCCTGGTGGTGAAGAAGGTCGTCTCGTCCGTGGAGTTGAGTAGATGGGGCTACGTCTACTACAACAATTTGCTCGCGCTCGCGGTGTTTCCGGTTTGGGCGTGGTTATCCGGAGAGCTCGCGCGGCTCGCGACCGAGAGGCCCCTGGAGGCGCTCGGCGACCCGGTGTCCTGCGCGGCCGTCGCGCTCTCCTGCGCCATCGGCCTGGGCATCTCCTTCTTCGGGCTCAACGCGCGGCGCGCGCTCTCCGCGACGGCGTTTACCGTTTTGGGCGTCGCGTGCAAGTTCCTGAGCATCGCCATCAATTCGACGGTCTGGGCCCACCACGCGCCCCACGCGGCCCTCCCCTGGCTGCTGTTGGCGCTGTTGGGGTCCGTGCTCTACCAGAAAGCGTCGAACCTGGCGAAGGACGACCGCGACCGGCGGACGTCGCGCGACGCCGCCGAACAGCGGAAGCGGGACCGGCGCGGCGCGGCGGCGTGGCCCGCGCGGCTCGGGGTGCTGGTGGCGGCGGCGCTGGGTGTCGCCGCGCTCCGGGCCGCGCTCGCGCCGGCGACGGCGGTCGTCCGCCCGTCGCCGGAGCTCGCGGAGCGGCTCCGCGCGGAGGAGCGGCGCGCGGCCGCGGCCGAGGCGCTCGCCGAGGAGGCGATCGCCCACGTCGAGGCCATGCGCCTCGACCGCGACGCGGCGCGCGCGCGGCTCCGCGGGGCGCGGGGGATGTAAAAGGCGGGTCGATCGTCGATGGGTGGGGGCCCTGAGACGCGGCCATGGCCGGCCGGAGGCCGTCGCGCCGCGACCAGCGGCGTGGCGGATTTGCTGGATCTTGGCTTTGAAGCCCAGAGTCGCTTCGCGTCACGCACTCGCCGCTCGCATCGACGAGCCGCCGCACGGAATCACCGTCGATGTACACGTCCGCCACCCTCATGCTCGCACTGGCCGCGCGCGGCGCGTCGGCCTTCGCCGCCGGCGCCCGCAGGGTGTCGGCGACGGCGCTGCGCGCCACGTCCACCGTCGTCGAGGGCGAGGAGGGCACGGAGTCCTACGCCCAGTACTTCGTCGACGCCGACGGGTCGAAGATCAGCCCCTGGCACGACATTTCCCTCATGGACGGCGACGCCTACAACATGGTCACGGAGATCCCCAAGTACGGCACGGCCAAGATGGAGGTCGACACCAAGGGCGAGAACAACCCGATCGTCCAGGACATGAAGAAGGGCAAGCTCCGCTTCTACCACGGCCCCATCTTCTGGAACTACGGCTGCCTGCCCCAGACCTGGGAGAACCCCAACGAGGAGCACCCCGTGCTCAAGTGCTTCGGCGACGACGACCCCATCGACGTCGTCGAGATCGGCTCGTCGGCGCTCGTGCCGGGCTCCGTGACGCCCGTCAAGCCCCTGGGCGTCCTCGCCATGATCGACGACGGCGAGCTCGACTGGAAGGTCGTCGCCATCGCCGAGTCGGACCCGCTGGCCAAGGAGCTCGACGACATCGCCGACGTCGAGGCCAAGTGCCCCGGCGTCGTCTCGGGCATCCGCGAGTGGTTCCGCTGGTACAAGACGCCCGACGACAAGCCCATCAACGCCTTCGGCTTCGACGAGGAGTGCCTCCCCAAGGCCAAGGCCGTCGAGGTCATCGAGGAGACCCACGCGTCCTGGAAGGGGCTCCGCGACGGCTCCATCGACGCGGGCAAGCTCTGGAAGGGCAACTAGATCGCGGCCGTTCAAGGCCCCGCGAAAATCCCCCGCGCGGCCGCCAAGGCGCCTCCCCGTTTCGTAACGAGCGGCTAGGGCGTAGCGTGGACGGCGACGTGCGCGGACCCGAACGCGGACCCCCAGCGGATCTCGCCGAGGGGCCGGTGGCGCACGCGCCGCCGCGCCTGGGCGACGGCGAAGGCGTGGGCGACGTCGCGCAGCGTCGGCGCCGCGTCGACGGCCCAGCGCAGGGGCGCGTCGCCGTCGAGGCACCGGAGCCGGGAGATCGACCGATCGACCTTCGCGGTGTGGTAGGCGTGGGCCGAGCCCTCGCGCCTCCGCAGCGCCGCGGCCCAGGCGCCGAAGTCGACGTCCGTCGTCTCCGGCTGCGCGTCGCCGCGGCGGAGCGCCGTCGTCGACGCGCGCGAGGCGCCGCGGAGGGGCGCGCCGTCGTCCTCCGGCGCCGGGTAGGGCTCCGCCGCGAGCCGCGCCGCGAGGTCGCGAAAGGCACCGACGAGGCCCGCCGACCGGCGGTCCCAGCCCTCGACGAGGAGCGCGGACCCCGGCGCGTCCGGGTCTCGCACGGACCGCGCGAGCCAGTGCTGGAGCTGCGCGTCCAGCAAATCCGACGCGACGCGGCTCATGGGGTTCCAGGCCGTGCGGCCGCCGGCCGTGCCCTTGCGGTGCTCCGCGCGCGCGCGGCTGAACCTGCGCAGCGAGTCCTCCTCCGTCTCCAGGAAGTAGCGGCCGCGGCCGCTCGGGATCACCGCGCGGGCTTTGAACCGCCGGCTCACCGCGGGCAGCGCGACGCCCTCGGCGGCGCGCACGTAGGCTAAAATGCGGCCCATGAGGTCGTCCACGCGCGAGACGGCCGCGGCCGCGCCGCTCGAGTTTGTCGCGAGGCGCAGCGGCGGGACTTTGGGCGCGTCGAGGTCGAGGACGGAGACGGGCGACCGCGGCGCGGCGTCGGCCTTGGCCCGGGGCGACCGCGGCGCGGCGTCGGCCTCGGCCCGGGGGATGCCGCCGGGCGGCCGGCCCTTGCGCAGCGTGACGACGAGGCCGTTGCGCAGCCTCGTGGCGTCGGTGACCGGCGCGCCGTTGGCTTCGAGGTAGAGCTCGCCCTTGGCGCGGAACTTGGCCTTGACCGCGGCGAGGAGCGCGTCGGCCGAGCCCGAGCCGCCCGACCATTTCAAGGGCTTCTCCTGCTGCCCGAAGGCGACGGAGAGACGGATAATCGTGGCCATGACGACGCGCTGGAGCTCAATGTGAGAGGCGGTTCGTGGCCATGACGCTGCCAGAGCGCCGATCTCGGCATCACCGACCCAACTGCACGACGGCAACAACGCCCGTGCACAGCGGCGGAGAGCGTCGACATGGGCAGCTAGCTAAACCCCGACACGGTAACCATTAACCATGCCGACGCTGCGCAAGTCGGTGCAGATGAAGGTGGACCAGCTGCCCGCGGCCCTGCCGGGCGTCGGGCGGAATCCGAAGAAGGCGCAGCCGAAGAAGCAGGACACGTACCAGGTCGCCGAGCAGGACCAGGGCGTCATCTTCGCCGCCGCGGAGCGGGGCAACTGGGAGACGATCACGCGCATCTACGACGCCCTGGAGCTCGAGCGCGAGCTCTCGGAGATGCCCTGCGAGCACCGCGTGAACCTGGCCACGCGCCTCAACGCCGTCCTGACCGTGTCGAAGGAGAAGCGCCGCGGCATCTTCGTCGCGGACGTCACGCCCATGGACGGGCCCGACGAGGCCAAGGGCCGCTTCGAGCGCGGGCGCAAGCTGCGGACGACGTCCGGGCGCGACGTGCAGGAGCGCGGCATCGAGGTGTCGGGGACCGGACGGACGGCGCTGCACATCGCCGCGCAGGCGCACGCGCCTTTGACCGTCGTCGAGGCGCTCATCAAGCTCCAGCCCTCGGCCGTGCGGAGCCGCGACAACGCGAGTTCGACGCCGCTCCACCTCGCCGCCGGCGGCGGCTTCTGCTTCGCGCGCGCCAAGGGGCAGTCCGTGCACCACGAGCACGTCAAGCCCGGCGTGCGAATCAAATCTTCAACTCGACTTCAATGTAAGCGTATTCGAATGTTTTGACACAAGCGCTTCCGCTGTGCTTCGAGAACTCGATGAGAGCACTCGATCCGTCCAAGAATCAGCCGAATCGACTTCGATGTGACCGAGCTCGAGAATTTCAAAGTTTGGTCGGGACGTCCCAAACCAGCGGTTGATTCCGGCACAGGTCAAGCCCGTCAACGAGAATAAGCGCGCGCGGAACATCATCTCCGCGCTCGTCGACGCGGCGCCGGAGCTCGCGTCGGCCGTCGACGAGCACAACCACACGCCCCTGGACGTCGCCGTCGCGAACCGCAAGTGGATGGCCGTGGAGCGGCTCGTCGAGGCCGCGCCGGCCTGCGTTAAAAGATCGGACGCGGCGCCCTTGCCGCTCTACGCCTCCGCGCTCGCCGGCGCGGCGCCGCCCCGGGTGCTGCGATGCCTCGAGGAGGCGCACCCGCGGAGCGACATGCCCCTGCCGTCGTTGGTGAAATGCAAGTTCTACGACGACGCGCTCAAAGCGGTCACGGAGGAGGCCGCGAAGCGCAAGGACGACCGCGACCGGCTCCCGCTCCACCTCGTCGCCGCGGACCCGGACGCGCCCGAGGCGCTGATCACCGCTTTACTCGAGGCCTTCCCCCAGGCGACGAACGCGAGGGACAAGGCCGGCTGGCTCCCGCTGCACGACAGCGCGCACGTCGGCGGGCCCTCGAAGCTCTACCGCTGCCACCACCACGAGCCGCCCCGGTTCCTGAACTTGTAGAAAGCTGTTTAACGCGCGGGGGGGGCTCAGGGCGACCCGAGGAGCGTCTGCGCCTCGGGCGACCGCGCGGCTTTCCGGGTCCGTTTCCGCGATGCCGCGACGGCGACGATCGCGACGGCCGCCGCGGCCAAAAGCGCCGGCGCCGCCCAGGGCCCGGACGCCAACGACTCGCTCGACGCCGCGGCGAGGTCCGCCGGCGCGACCTTCTTCGAGGCCGTCGCGGAGTCGCGCGCGAGGACGCCGTGCTCGTCCTTGGGCGCCGACAGCCCCGCGTAGGCCAGCGCCTCCGGGGACACGAAGGTCGAGTCGCGCTGTTTCGAGGGCGCGGGCTCGACGGCGAAGTCCTCGGCCCCGGGGCCGATGGGATTCATGACTTGCCCCGTGATCTGGGACGTCATCGTCGCGGCGACCTCGGCGGTCTTGTTCGCGCTCCAGGCGCACCAGTCGTCGAGGTCCAGGAAGAAGTTGGACCCGCTCTCCGTGACGACCGTCGTGCCGTACTTCTTCACCGCGCGGCGGCACGCGGGGTCCGTGCGCGCCATGTCGTCGACGCAGCTCAGGCAGAACGCGTGCGTCGCGCACTCGCCGTCGATGTCCAACGCGTCGCCGACGGGCGCGTCGTCGAGGTCCGGCGGCAGGTCCATGGCCTTCTTCGGCGTCGTCGCGACGAAGGTGCCCGCGCAGACGGCCTCGAGGTCTAAAAGCGCCTCCCAGGCGCAGATCAAGCCCCAGGACCGGCCCTTGTCGCTGTCGACGGCCGTGACGTTGCAGAGCTCGCCGTACTTGGGCGTCATCTCCATGCGGTGGCGGTACTCGGACTGGTAGTCGCTCAGGGAGCAGGCCGTCATGGAGCCGTAGAGGCCGTCGTCGTCGTAGCGGTCGCAGTCGGACGCGAGCTCGTCGACGTAGGCGTCGTTGCAGCACTCCCAGTCGCTGGGCGCGGCCGTCGACGGGACGAGCGTGGGCGGGTAGGTCGGCTGGGCCGTCGGCTTGTACGTCGACGGCGCGAGCGTCGACGGGCTCTTCGTGGGCATGTACGTCGTGGGCGCGTGGCTCGACGGCTCGACGGACGGCGCCTTGGACGGCGCGGCGGCGGCGTCGGCGCAGCAGATGACCGTCTTCGCCTCCTCGGCCTTGGCGCACGTCGTCTCCAGCGTGCCGCCCTGGGCCCGGACGGCCGCGTAGCCGCTCCGCCACGTGCTGTGCGCGCCCGTCGTGCCGTTGGCCACGGTCGGCGCCCGCTCGAGGGCCGTCGTGTCGGCGCACGTGTTCTCCTCCTCCATGTAGCAGCTCTCGCAGACGAAGGTCGTCCACGCGGGCGACGCGAGCAGCGTCTCGAACAACTCGCGGCCCGCGCCTTCCTTGGCCGCGCGCTCGATCTCGTGGAGCTCGCACATGCGCGCGCCCTTCTCCGTGCAGGCCGCCTTGGCGGCGAAGAAGGACGACTCCGTCGCGGCGCCCTTGGTCTGGCGCGTGGACGCGCAGACGCCGTCGCCCGACGGCCCGCCGCCGCCGACGACCGGCAGGTAGGTCCAGCCTAGGTCCTCGCAGGACCGGTGGCTCGCCTCGGGCGGCGCGAGCGGCGCGCGGCGCGCGTCGTAGATGACGCTGCGCACGTCCGCGCGGTGGCCGCCGCGCTTCGTGTCCGCGAGCGACACGACGCGGAGGGCCCGGTTGTCCGTGTCCGCGAGGAGCACGCTGTCGCCGTCGACGATGGACACGTCGTGGAGCCGCGACAGGTGCGCGACGCCCGCGTGGCCGTCGAGCCAGCCGCTACCGGACGCGTCGTTGCCCGAGAGCACGCGGCACGGCGACGCGCCGACGTCCTTCCACGACACCGCGGGCACGTCGTCGAAGTCCGCGTCGTCGTCGGACGCGCCCTTCTTCGACGACTTGGCGTCGTCGTCGTCCTCGGAGGACTTGCTGCTCTTTTTGGAATCGTCGTCGTCCTCGGAGGACTTGCTGCTCTTCTTGGAATCGTCGTCGTCCTCGGAGGACTTGCTGCTCTTCTTCGAGGAAGCGTCGTCGTCCTCGGAGGACTTGCTGCTCTTCTTCGAGGAAGCGTCGTCGTCCTCGGAGGACTTGTCGCTCTTCTTCGAGGAAGCGTCGTCGTCCTCGGAGGACTTGTCGCTCTTCTTCGAAGACGAGGCGGCGTCGTCGTCGGCGGCGTCGTCGCCGTCGGACGACTTGGACTTGAGGCGCC